CTTTAATGATGTGTTACGTGGCCAAAGGTAGTTTCAATGTTTTCATGTCGAGGATTTACAGCCTTGGGATATAGCAGCCGGTGCTATAATATTAACTGAAGCTGGTGGTTTTATAACTCATACTAGTGGGGCTCCTTTTAATATTATGAAACCTGATTTGATTTGTGCTTCCACTAAGGAACTATTAAAGGAGGTGAAGGAGTTAATTGAGGAAGCAGATGCTTTAACTGATTTTGAATTTAAGTAAGAAAAAGAGATTTTTTAAATAAGACTAAGGGCTTTAGAAGGAAGTAAAACAGCTAGTTGAGCAAGAATATTGCTCAACTGTTTAAATGTTGGTATTCAGAATAAAATCTTAATTTAATTGAACAGTAGTAGTCTATGTACTTACATTGGGTGGCATGCCGTGTGTTTGAAAGCCCATGGGTGGCATATTGGGTCCTTGAGGAGGCATTTGCATGCCCATGTGAGGAGCTGGAATATTTGGAAACAAAAGTTTTGTTGTATAAAAAACTTCTCTGATAATTATGGTTTTTGAGTATTTACCCATGCCTTGATGATGTGGCGGCATATGATGTCCTTGAGGACCTGGCGGCCCTTGTCCGGGCGGACCATTTAAGTGGGGTGGAGGACCACCTTGTGATCCAGGCTGTTGTTGAGGCATACCATGAGGCGGACCACCATGTGGTGGCGGACCATGACCCATTGGAGGTCCTGTTGGCGGACCTCCTTGCTGTCCTGGTGGACCATGTTGACCCGGAGGAGGTGGTCCATGCTGTGATACCACACCATGTTGCTGTGTAGGCATGGGACCATGTTGAGGACCACCATGAGGGGGTCCATGAGGAGGTCCATGTTGCATTGGATGGCCATAAGGACCTCCAGGATGACCAGGAGGAGGTGGACCATGTTGACCCGCTCCCGGTGGTGGACCTTGCTATGAGGTGGACCATGTGGCGGTCCTTGATGACCCTGAGGTCCAGGTGGACCGCCAGGGCCTTGCTGTGGTGGATGTGTATAGGGGCTGTGTGGCGAGGGTGACGGAGCCGGACTTTGGGAAGGTGGTCCCATGGGGCTCGGAGCCTGTGGCGGGGGCATAGGACTATTCGCCGGTGAAGGCGAAGTCATTTTTTTACTTTTTCTTATTGTTCAAACTTGTTAATTCCACAATTTAGAAAGAAAAAATTTACTTTTCTGCGAAAAGAAAAAAACTTTCGTGTTATACACTTTACAGCAATCACTCACACACAACCACCACCACCAAAGCCGCTTTGTATTTTTTTCTCACGATTTTTATATTTAATTCATAAAATTTTGATAAAATTCTTTTAAAATTATATTTATTTAACACTTAATTTTAATATTTTATTTAATTTAGTGTGTTTTATTTAGATTTTTTAAAGAAAATTTATAATTTTCACAAAAATGCAAAAGATTAACACTTTTCATACGACGCGACCAGAGATACAAGCCGAGACGGTTCAAATCGGCGGCGGCTGGCCGGCGGTAATATTTTACAAGCCGCGCCGCCGCTAACTTCTTTCGGCTCAAAAGCTAAAGCGACATGGCCACATATCAAATTTGTTGACTCAAACGGTAAGTTTTTTGATAGGGTTAGTAAAAAAAAACTCACACCGCATTTATACATGTGAGTTCTTTTCACTAACACAATTAAAAACTTTCCGGTTGAGTCAAAAAATTTGATGTGTAGCCATGTCGCTTAAGCCGGCCTAAACGTAACCGCTGATAAAGATTGGAATCACACAGGTATTTCAGAAAATAATTTCACCAATTTGAACGGAGTTGCCACTATTTCAAATTCTTATGGCAAATTGAAAAGAGTTGCCGCACAATATTGTACTAATATTAAAATAGTGAAAACTACTATAATAATGTCCATTTTCTGCAGAAAAAACTTATATAGAGACAGGTTTCTATATAACGTACTATTATACAGAGATTTTTCAATATAATAAACGCTTATAAGGTCAATTTTTGAAAAAAAAGTTAAATTGAGCCGACAATTTAGCCGGTGCCGATATTTTCTGTAACAAGCCGTCGCCGCCGACCTAAAATTGTTGGGTCGCCACCGCCGATCATTTTGCATCGGCTGGCATCTCTGGAGTTGGCAGCAGAGCTCTGCGCCGACAAATATTAACGGTCGACTGTAGGCCGGCTAAATTTTCAATACGCTTAATTTTTAAATTTTCAAAGATTTTAAATAAAAACGGAATCCGAGAGATAAAAAAGTGGGATTTTGTATATAATTTATAACAGTAAAATAGAGCAAGCACAAAATTATGCAAGGATGGGAAAAAATTTTAAAAATAAAAAAAAAAATCAATTTTAATTTGATTAATTCTTACAAGTTAAAAACAAATCCTTTCATCAAGTTTTATTATGATCATTATTTTGCAGACACAATCACACCCTGCTGCACTGTAAATTAATTTCAATTGTGTGACATTTCCAGTCAAGTGCTTGTCTTCTCGCTGCTGTTAGAGCAACGGTTCCAAAATGGGGGTCCGTAGCGAAGACCAATAAAAATATATTAAAAATATCTCCAAATTTTTTTTATAAAAACTATAATATACAATTTTTGTTCAATAATCCCAGATTTTTTGGTGACTTTTTGAATTTCATTTTTTCAGTTGTTTATCAAGGCGAAGCTATGCCCTACACATTTATTGAAAATTTATATAATATGGCAATATTTTGCGGTTTTGTATTAGAGTTGCCAGTATGTTGTTAAATTAATGAGTTTAAAACGTAAAGAAACGGGAAATGATGAAGAATTTTCAAAACTGTTTTAATTTAAATACCAATTAAATGCAAAATAACGCTTTTTCTAAATTTTAATATAAATTAAATAACATTACATATTTCTCCTACTTCAAATAGCTTTTTATTATTTCTATAGCAGTATAATAAAGAGAGTATTGCCCAAATAATTGGTTGAACATCCACTTTAAAGTATTTTGCAACTTACAATCTTAAGCAATTAAAATTTAAAAATTTTTATTAAAAAATCCTACTTTAAATAGAAAATATTCCAAATTTTCTAATTTTCAATAAATTAAAAATTTCCCCCACCATATGGTAGCCTTACAATATGCCGACACGTCATAACCGTTTGAAAAACTCTTTCCCCTCTTTCGATTTGTTGTCATTTTTTCTAGTCATGACATTTCTCCTCTCTTTCTTAACCGTTTCAATTTTGACAGTTTATTAAAACGAAAAAAATAGGAAAATATATTGGCCAGCCGATAAATTTTTTTTGCATATTTTTAAGGAAAAATTAATAAAATATCTGTAAAAAAGTAAAGAAAAGAAGAAAAACAACATTTCCAATACAACTTTAAATTATTAATAAGGAAAAATATGGGTTAGTAGAAAAATAAATGTAATTAAGATAAAACATAATAAGAAATTAAAACACAAAAAGTGACGTAGTGAGTCAACCTTTTGGGGCAAAAAAAGGATAAAATATGTTTTCTTGTCTATTGTTTCTATATAATCCCCTCTAGGAGGAGTATTAAGTTATTTTCGTGGTTTACTGGGTTCGCGTGAAATGCGTATATTGATATTGGGTCTAGATGGTGCTGGCAAAACAACAATATTGTATAGACTACAAGTGGGAGAAGTGGTGACCACTATACCAACGATTGGTTTTAATGTGGAACAGGTGACATATAAAAATTTGAAATTCCAAGTATGGGATTTGGGTGGACAGACAAGTATAAGGTAAGAAAAACTAAATTTTAAAGAAATTTAACTAAACTAATAAATATTTTTGTTAAAGACCCTACTGGCGTTGTTATTATAGCAATACAGATGCTATAATTTATGTGGTAGATTCTGCAGATCGTGATAGAATAGGCATTTCCAAAGATGAGCTTTTATACATGTTAAGGGTAATTATTAATTAATGAAGATGAAATATATAACAGAGTAATGATTTTATTTAATAATTTTCCAGGAAGAAGAACTTGCCGGTGCCGTTTTGGTAGTATTAGCCAATAAACAAGATATGGAAGGCTGTATGACTGTTGCTGAAGTTCATCATGCTTTAGGTTTGGAAAATCTAAAAAATCGTACTTTCCAAATTTTCAAAACCTCTGCGACTAAGGGTGAAGGCCTTGATCAAGCTATGGATTGGCTTTCCAATACTCTACAAAGTCGTAAATAGTCGTATTTACTTAACCTCTACTACATCTCTTTTCCTCCCATATATAGTTCCCCTCTCCAAAAAGAATGAAAGCAAAAAAAACCTATACCTTTCGTATTCAATTATGTCAAAGAAAAAAAAAAAATTAAATTTTATTTTGTTTAATTTCTGTACTCCTGTACAACCTAACGATTCCTTCTACATTTTTTGTTTGTAATTTTAAGTAATTATAAATATGCAATTAAAAAACAACAACAAAATCATAAACAAGTTTATAATAAAAACCTGTATTTGTCTTGTGGTGTCCTTTCTGTTATGGCGAAACACTTTATACGTTGAAGAAAGCCCTAAACACTTTTATACCCCTCACTCTCCTCCCCTTTTAAGATTTTAGTATTTCATAGAAAACTTTTTTTATACTTAAATTTAGTAAAACATATAAGAAAGTAATACAATAAATTTAATATTAGAGTAATTATAATAAAAAAGTTGACGTTTGTGAACAGGTATTCCAAAGTTTACTCTTTTCAAAAGTGGATGCATCATTTAACATCAGTCTTTCCATAACCTTTTTTCTTTTTATTTCGATTTACTGGTTTATATTGTTAAAGCATCGTATCAGATGATTTGCAGCTAATCCTTTGCAGATATTTAAAGGCTGTTTAACTTCACACTGTCACAGCCATAGACACTTTGTAAGATTATTTCAATTATTTTTAATCAAACACTATTATTTTACCATTATACGAGTAATAAAAATAATTATCTCCTTTTTTATTTTGATGCGCACTAAATATATAGTCGGACACAGTTCAAAAAAATGTAACAAACAAAAACAAAATCATTCACTTCTTCAAAAAACTAGATATTTCTTAAATATCCTTTCACCACTCGGGTAAACCAAAACGTCGTACTCGTTTTTCCTGTGTATCCAAATCCATACGTATCTTTTGTCTCATATAGAAAATGGGACAATCACGATTGGAACATAATACTTCTTCATGCAATGAACCCTGACATCTTTGGCATTCTGTCCATAAGCGGGCAAATTTCTCTTCCATCTGGCGTTTGGCCACTACTTCCTTCATATATAATTCACCCATTTTAGGTTTGCAATGAGGACACAACGGTTCATTTTCATAGCCTTTGGGCATTAGAGATTTGCAACCCAAACAGGAAGATTTTTTCGTCATAAAGCCCGCCAAACCACCTACTTTGGAGGTGACCACTGTGCGAGTGCGGGTATGTTCACCCTCTAAAAATTGTAAAATAAAATAAAATTGTTTATAGTTTTAGATTGTATTTAACTTACTTAATAAAATCGATTCCGCTTTATCTCCTAAAATAGGTTCGAATATCCTTAGTAAAGGTTTGGATAACTGTTGTTCTAAATAATAATTGGCATCTATAGGTACACTGTTTTCTAGCACATATAAGGGATCTTCAGCTTTAGCATAGGCTGGTGTATTTTTGGCTGCTGCACATATAACATAGGGAACACGATCTCCTAATTTGGGTGCCGTGCCAGGATCTCTTTTCTTCATTTTTGCAGCCAGCTCCACATGAGCCTGTTTGGCAGCATAATCGGTCTTGGCCAATTCCTTGGTAATAACCAACTGTGAAATGTCTATGCGATTACACAGTAAATCCGATATAACTTGTTTAACATATTCAACCGCTCCATCAGGATTTCTTTCAATTAGCAACTTTTGCAAGCAAGTATTCATGAGATTAGCCACCAAAGGAGAATTATCACGACGCACTGTCTCAATACCTTTACAATCCATTTTGTCGTAGGTTTCTGGTCGTGTAAAATACAAACCGGCATATCTTTTCTTATTGATCAGCAAGTAAGGATAGTACACCTTTTCGAATTCCAATTTAATGGGTCTAACAAATTTCGCTGATACCAAATCGGCTGCCTCCTTACCCAATTCCATACTTCTTTCCAGCGATTTAACGCCAAAGTTAACCATTACTGAATCAGTATCACCATAAATAACTACAGCGTCATTTTCATAACCATTGGCTCGTGTATAATGAGATTCTACCTCATTTTTGGTAAGCTCAATCATGGTGCGACCATAAGAGGTAACCGAACCAGAAATTTCCAAACAAGGTAGCTTACCCACCTGGGCTCCTGTGAAACCATATACAGAATTAGCAGATATTTTCAAAGCCAATTGACGACCATCCAACACTTTGCGTTTGAAGGGATCAGTTTCCACTTTTAAATCGTTTTTGGCTCTTTACGAGCAGCCAATAAAGATTCCAAAATTTCCGGCAATAAACCACGACGGACGGTGGCCTTGACAAAGGTGTTATTGGAGGGTGTTTTCTCATAATCTTTATCACTTAAACCCAATTTATCTTTCATGCCCGGTTGCAAGAGCGTGGTATAACACAAATTATGGGCCATCATTATACTAGGATATAGAGAAGCAAAATCAAGTGTTGATATAGGATCGGCATAATAACCTCTTTTGGGTTCAATAACCGTGGCGCCTTCATACTGTTCATCCGATCCCTGAGACGAATAAGAGGGCATAATGAAACCTTTAGTTTTGGCTTTGCGCAACAACTGAGACAACACCTTAATCTGTTGGCCTCTAGTGAGTAGAGATTCTAAGGTAACTCCCGTTACTCTGGCCATTTCCATATAGTTGACAATAGACATAAGTTTATCGAGAAGTCTTAAAGGCAAATAGGCATCCTTAAGGCAATACATGGCCAAACGACGACGAGTTTGCTCATCACCATTCTGCAAATCGGTGATAATGCTGTGGTGAACATCATCCTTTTGTTCTTGCAAAAACTGATAACTCACAGCGTTGAGAGTATAGGATCTTAGCTTGTAATCTCTTAGCAGTACAAACAGCAAATCAAAGGGAACTCTACCCTCAAAATTTACATATTTATTTTCACGACGACCCATTTGTTTAGATTGCAGAACTTGTTCTTTGATAACCGAACGTATATTCTTAATTCTACCCAAAAATTCAAAGTTTTGCACTTTCAGATGAGCGGCGCGATTCAGCAGATAGGGAATGTCAAAATTATTGATATTATAACCGGTTAATATATCTGGATCAACCTCACGCACAAAACTAGACCATTTATCTAGCAGTTCTTTTTCAGTATCAAAACATAAAACCTGGCTGCCCACTATGGGAGCACAGGTTTTCAATGTAAAAACATTGCGTATAAAGGGCTCGGGATCACCTTGTCTGATCACCATATTGGCAATTTGTATAACAGGATCGATTTTAGGCTCAGGAAATATGCCCTTGCGACCAGCGCATTCTATGTCAAAGGATAATATGCGAAAAGGAGCCACTTTACTCCATTCACCTTCTGGCTCATGAGATATGAATTTATCAAACGCAACATCTACCTCCAACTGGCAACGACTTTCGGGTAGAGGTTTGGAATTGCGTCCCCTTTGACGCCATGAGCCTGCAGGCAGTTCTATCCAATTACAACCCACTACATCACAGTCCACCATAAAACGTATATCAAAATCTATGTTATTCTCAAAGGCACGACAATCCTGGAAATCAAATTCATTGTAAATAACTTCTTTCTTCAATAAACGTGAAGCGGCAGCCACAAATTTGGGCAGCGAAAGAGTTATTTTGATATATTTCTGCTTGCTATCCCCCTGATAGCCGTAAATATTTAAACGTTCTATCAATTCCACACTTAAAACCGCCTCCTGTACATTATCCTTGTTGCCGCCACGCATGTCAGCCAAAACCTTCTTATCCAAGGCCGATCTTAGTTCATGACAATGTTTCTGCTCGAAGCCTTTGGGGGCAGCCAAATAGAAATACGGACAAAAGCCATGGACATGACAACACACAGAATTACCCTCCATGGTTATGCCATACATGCGTATAACCGGTACTGGACCCATGCGAGCACCGGGCATGCCCGGCAGAGGAGCTCCTATGTAGTTTTCAATATCTATTTGTTGAAATATTAAAGCATCTGTTTCACAATCTAGTTCAGGAGGATCTACGCGAGACCATTTGACAGAGGTCTGTTGATTTTCTGGACCCTCACCCATCAACTGGGTCATGTCCATGTCATCATTGTTGAAATCAACTTCAAAACCACCTCCGCCCATATCATCATCTTCGTCATCGTAATTTCTGCGACAAATTAGACGAATTTTTAATAAATTTTAATGTTTTATAAATTATTAAGCTTACCTGGGCTTTTTAGGTGCCCCATTTGTGGCTGCTGCTCCAGCAAATTTTCTTTTGTTAGCAAAATTACTCATTTTTATTAAAAAAGTTTTTAAAATAATTGTTTTGATTTTATAAAGTTTTAAAACATTTTTTTGTTGATATTGTTTATAAAAAAATCTTTGTTTGCGTTTGTTTTCTGTAATTAATTTCGCAAAAATTACAAACACCGAACAAAAATATCAAAACGTTTTTGCGCGGCTAATAGTGTTGTAAACTTAGCTATTTACAAATTTGTCAAGTTCAGTGATTTTACTTTATGGATTTCTCAGCTAAATTCTAGCGATTTATTTAGAAATGCTTTTGTGGTCAACACAACTGGCAGTGTAAACATTCCAAACTATAACTTATAAAACTTGGTTCAGAACTATCCAGGATTAGCATTATTTTCTCAGAATATACAATATCTGAGGAAAAATAATTCAATTAAATTAATTTTTTTAATCGCTAAGCTGTTAGTACTTTTATAATCTTGCTCCCTCTTGCGATAATTCTGTCAACTAAACACAAAATTGTCATCACACAGAGATTCTAATGTCACCACAACTGTCATGTTAAGAAAATTTACTGCTGAGAAAAAGTTTTTCTTCTTCGGGGCGATAAAAAAGCCATAATTTTTGTGAAAAAATCCACATAAAATATAAAGAAAATTACAAATAATTAATCACAAGTCTAAGATAAAAGTGTAAACTAAAGTTAAGAACAAAAAACAATAAAAACAAAAATGTTTTAAAGTGAGAATATCGGTAAAAAAAATCGTGCAAGGGTACGTAATAAATAAAAAAGAGGAGGTGGGTGAATCACCATTTGCACCATAAAATATCCTCTAAAAGAGTTGCAAAAAAAAGTTTTTTTTTGTGACTATTGAATAATCAAAAATTAAAGAAAACCTAAAAAGAATATCAACCAAATACTAAAAGAAATGTTTAAGAAACCACAAAACATGTATCAAAGTGCATGCAATGCAGCGACGACCGGGTCTTGTGCCCCCAACACAGAGGCAGAGCGTGAAGCCGAACGGCTGGGTGCCTTAATGGCTCAACAGCCACCAAGTGCACCCATTGAACCTGACTACAGTGGTTTTGACATTGTTAAAGCCACTCAGTATGGTGCTACAGCCAGAGTTAAGGAATTAGTGGAATCCGGTTGGGATGTTAATCAGCCGGACAGTGAAACGGTTACTTTATTGCATTGGGCTGCCATCAATAATCGCCGTGATATAATTAAGTACTTTTTGGAAAAAGGGGCTGTAGTTGATGCATTGGGTGGTGAACTTAATGCAACACCTCTGCATTGGGCCACAAGACAAGGTCATTTAGGTGCTGTTGTCCTCCTAATGGCGGCTGGTGCCGATCCGCGTATTCGCGATGCGGAGGGTTGTTCGTGCATACACATTGCAGCACAATTTGCACATACCGCTCTGGTGGCGTATTTCATAGCCAAGGGTTGTTGATCCGGATTTACAGGATCGTGGTGGTATGGCCGGCATAATGTGGGGCCGCATGGAAGGTGAGTGGATGTTTGATATATATATTTCTTTTGAAATCGACGACTAGATTATAGACTAGACTAAACTAGATATACTAGACTACTGACTAGGCTATAGTCCCAGACTTTAGACTACTATATCCAGACTTTAGACTAGGACTAGTAGGACTAGACTTTAACAGATATAGACAGACTATAACTAACTATAGACTAGCGTTAACTGACTGAAATACTATAGACTAGACTATAGACTAGATATAGACTAGACTATAAACTAGACTTGACCTATAGACTACTAGACTATAGACTAGGACTATAGACTAGACTAACTATAGACAGACTATAGACTAGGACTAAGACTAGACTATGCTCTATAGACTAGACTATTAGACTAGACTATAGATAGCTATAGACTAGACTATAAGACTATAGACTATACTATAGACTAGACTATAGACTAGACTATAGACTAGACTATAGACTAGACTATAGACTAGACTATAGACTAGACTATAGACTAGACTATACTAGACTATAGACTAGACTATAGACTAGACTAGACTATAGACTAGACTATAGACTAGACTATATAGACTAGACTATAGACTAGACTATAGACTAGACTATAGACTAGACTATAGACTAGACTATAGACTAGACTATAGACTAGACTATAGACTAGACTATAGACTAGACTATAGACTAGACTATAGACTAGACTATAGACTAGACTATAGACTAGACTATAGACTAGACTATAGACTAGACTATAGACTAGACTATAGACTAGACTATAGACTAGACTATAGACTAGACTATAGACTAGACTATAGACTAGACTATAGACTAGACTATAGACTAGACTATAGACTAGACTATAGACTAGACTATAGACTAACTATAGACTAGACTGTAGACTAGACTATAGACTAGACTATAGACTAGACTATAGACTAGACTATAGACTAGACTATACTAGACTATAGACTAGACTATAGACTAGACTATAGACTAGACTATAGACTAGACTATAGACTAGACTATAGACTAGACTATAGACTAGACTATAGACTAGACTATAGACTAGACTATAGACTAGACTATAGACTAGACTATAGACTAGACTATAGACTAGACTATAGACTAGACTATAGACTAGACTATAGACTAGACTATAGACTAGACTATAGACTAGACTATAGACTAGACTATAGACTAGACTATAGACTAGACTATAGACTAGACTATAGACTACTAGACTAGACTATAGACTAGACTATAGACTAGACTATAGACTAGACTATAGACTAGACTATAGACTAGACTATAGACTAGACTATAGACTAGACTATAGACTAGACTATAGACTAGACTATAGACTAGACTATAGACTAGACTATAGACTAGACTATAGACTAGACTATAGACTAGACTATAGACTAGACTATAGACTAGACTATAGACTAGACTATAGACTAGACTATAGACTAGACTATAGACTAGACTATAGACTAGACTATAGACTAGACTATAGACTAGACTAGACTAGACTATAGACTAGACTATAGACTAGACTATAGACTAGACTATAGACTAGACTATAGACTAGACTATAGACTAGACTATAGACTAGACTATAGACTAGACTATAGACTAGACTATAGACTAGACTATAGACTAGACTATAGACTAGACTATAGACTAGACTATAGACTAGACTATAGACTAGACTATAGACTAGACTATAGACTAGACTATAGACTAGACTATAGCTAGACTATAGACTAGACTATAGACTAGACTATAGACTAGACTATAGACTAGACTATAGACTAGACTATAGACTAGACTATAGACTAGACTATAGACTAGACTATAGACTAGACTAGAGACTAGACTATAGACTAGACTATAGACTAGACTATAGACTAGACTATAGACTAGACTATAGACTAGACTATAGACTAGACTATAGACTAGACTATAGACTAGACTATAGACTAGACTATAGACTAGACTATAGACTAGACTATAGACTAGACTATAGACTAGACTATAGACTAGACTATAGACTAGACTATAGACTAGACTATAGACTAGACTATAGACTAGACTATAGACTAGACTATAGACTAGACTATAGACTAGACTATAGACTAGACTATAGACTAGACTATAGACTAGACTATAGACTAGACTATAGACTAGACTATAGACTAGACTATAGACTAGACTATAGACTAGACTATAGACTAGACTATAGACTAGACTATAGACTAGACTATAGACTAGACTATAGACTAGACTAGACTAGACTATAGACTAGACTATAGACTAGACTATAGACTAGACTATAGACTAGACTATAGACTAGACTATAGACTAGACTATAGACTAGACTATAGACTAGACTATAGACTAGACTATAGACTAGACTATAGACTAGACTATAGACTAGACTATAGACTAGACTATAGACTAGACTATAGACTAGACTATAGACTAGACTATAGACTAGACTATAGACTAGACTATAGACTAGACTATAGACTAGACTATAGACTAGACTATAGACTAGACTATAGACTAGACTATAGACTAGACTATAGACTAGACTATAGACTAGACTATAGACTAGACTATAGACTAGACTATAGACTAGACTATAGACTAGACTATAGACTAGACTATAGACTAGACTATAGACTATACTATAGACTAGACTATAGATTAGACTATAGACTGAACTATAAAGTAGACTATGGATTATACTATAGACTATACTATAAACTATAAAGTAGACTATAGATTATACTATAGACTATACTATAGACTAGACTATAGACTATAGGGAGAATTTTCTAAAGAGAAAATTTCCCTAAACAGGAAATAATTCTTAAAATTACGATTTTTTCTATGAAAACCTTCTCTAGGTTTGTGCTTTGGATCCCGTACGTTTGTTACTAACACTCGGTGCAAATCCTGCCATGGTTGATTATACACATGGCAATACCGCCTTACATTGGGCCATTTTGGCACGTAATGCCACAGCGATTAATACTTTAGTTCTAAAATCCAAAGCTTCCTTAGATGTACCCAATTTACGTGGGGAAACACCACTAACAATGCTTGAGTCACAATCGGGGGCCGTCTGGATAAGTGCTAAAGTAATGGAACGTATTAAAGATGCTGCATTATCGTCACAACAAAGAAGATCTCTAATGACTCGGGTCAAACATGACAAACGTTTGCGTTGGTGGTCCATGGTAGCATGTCCCTTTACTGCCTTCTATTTGGCTGGTGTTATTTTCACTCTTAACACATTGTACATTATAAAGTTCTTTTTATTGGGTTGTCTCTATGCGGTATTTCATACTTTAGGGAAAGCACTGTTCGATGATCATTTAATGGCTCTATTGCCATTGAGTGTGTATTGTGCTACGAAAGCCTGGTTTTATATAACCTGGTTTGTGTATATTGTCGATGCAGTATCGTTTGGTACCACAGTGCTGTTTTTAATATGTTCGGGGGGTTTGTGGTTATGTTTTCTGAAATCGTGGAAAGGCGATCCCGGCATAATACAACCTACACAGGAACAAAGATTTAAGGTTTGTATACACTTCAATTCAAAACTATTTAAATATTTATAACAGTATTCTTTTCTGTTTTTTTTAGACCATTGTGGAATTGTCGGAACGTGGTGGCATTGGATTTGAACCCTCTTCATTTTGTTCAGGTTGTTTAGTAAGACGTCCTATACGTTCTAAACATTGCAGTGTTTGTGATCGTTGTGTGGCTCGTTTTGATCATCATTGTCCCTGGGTTGGCAATTGTATTGGCTTAAAGAATCATACCTATTTTATGGGTTTCCTGTGGATGCTGTTGGTTATGTGCGGTTGGATGATTTATGGTGGCTCTTTTTATTATATGAATAGTTGTAATGTACATTTTGATGGTGAGTAATTGGGGAGCTTATTGGTTTTATTATGAAATTGTTAAAACTTACCACTATGGACTATAGACTATAGATAAGACTATAGACTAAAATGTAGGTAAGGCCACACTAGACTATAGACTAGACTATACACTAGACTATACACTAGACTATAGACTAGACTATAGACTAGACTATAGACTAGACTATAGACTAGACTATAGACTAGACTATAGACTAGACTATAGACTAGACTATAGACTAGACTATAGACTAGACTATAGACTAGACTATAGACTAGACTATAGACTAGACTATAGACTAGACTATAGACTAGACTATAGACTAGACTATAGACTAGACTATAGACTAGACTATAGACTAGACTATAGACTAGACTATAGACTAGACTATAGACTAGACTATAGACTAGACTATAGACTAGACTATAGACTAGACTATAGACTAGACTATAGACTAGACTATAGACTAGACTATAGACTAGACTATAGACTAGACTATAGACTAGACTATAGACTAGACTATAGACTAGACTATAGACTAGACTATAGACTAGACTATAGACTAGACTATAGACTAGACTATAGACTAGACTATAGACTAGACTATAGACTAGACTATAGACTAGACTATAGACTAGACTATAGACTAGACTATAGACTAGACTATAGACTAGACTATAGACTAGACTATAGACTAGACTATAGACTAGACTATAGACTAGACTATAGACTAGACTATAGACTAGACTATAGACTAGACTATAGACTAGACTATAGACTACTATACTAGACTAGACTATAGACTACTATAGACTAGACTATAGACTAGACTATAGACTAGACTATAGACTAGACTATAGACTAGACTATAGACTAGACTATACTAGACTATAGACTAGACTATAGACTAGACTATAGACTAGACATAGACTAGACTATAGACTAGACTATAGACTAGACTATAGACTAGACTATAGACTAGACTATAGACTAGACTATAGACTAGACTATAGACTAGACTATAGACTAGACTATAGACTAGACTATAGACTAGACTATAGACTAGACTATAGACTAGACTATAGACTAGACTATAGACTAGACTATAGACTAGACTATAGACTAGACTATAGACTAGACTATAGACTAGACTATAGACTAGACTATAGACTAGACTATAGACTAGACTATAGACTAGACTATAGACTAGACTATAGACTAGACTATAGACTAGACTATAGACTAGACTATAGACTAGACTATAGACTAGACTATAGACTAGACTATAGACTAGACTATAGACTAGACTATAGACTAGACTATAGACTAGACTATAGACTAGACTATAGACTAGACTATAGACTAGACTATAGACTAGACTATAGACTAGACTATAGACTAGACTATAGACTAGACTATAGACTAGACTATAGACTAGACTATAGACTAGACTATAGACTAGACTATAGACTAGACTATAGACTAGACTATAGACTAGACTATAAGACATAGACTATAGACTAGATATAGACTAGACTATAGACTAGACTATGACTAGACTAAGACTAGACTATAGACTAGACATAAACTGACTATAGACTAGGACTATCGACTAGACTATAGACTAGACTATACTAGTACTATAGATTAGACTATAGACTAGATATAGACTGGGACTATAGACTAGACTATAGACTAGACTATAGACTAGACTATAGACTAGACATGACTAGATATCGGACTAGACTATAGACTAGACTATAGACTAGACATAGACTGACTATAGACTGAATATAGACTAGATATAGACTAGACTATAGCACCTAGACTATAGATAGGTACTATAGACAGAACTATAGACTAGACTATCGACTAGACTATAGAACTAGACTATAGCTAGATATAGGACTAGACTATAGCACTAGACTATAGACTAGGACATAGACTAACTATAGATAGACTATAGACTACCACCATAGACTTGACTTGACTAGACTATAGATGTATACTAATTACTAATATATTTCTAATATACTTTCATGTTTGTCTGTCACATTAAGATTTTCTTGCCGCATTACGTGCTATTGGTGACTGTAACGCCTGGATTGGCTGGGTCATGGCCAACGCTCTGCTACACATGTCCTGGGTCATACTACTTACCATCTGTCAAACATATCAAGTTATATGTTTAGGCATGACCACCAACGAACGCATGAATCGTGGAAGATATCGACATTTTCAAGCACGCAATGGTCAGTCACCATTTACTCGTGGTGCTTTTAATAATTTAGTCGATTTTCTGGAATGTACATGTTTTGGTTTGTTTAAACCCAAACGTATCGATTGGATGAACTATTACGATTATGATGTACAAGCAAATAAAACTATAGAACAAGAACCATTGCTGCGCAATGGTGAGGAATCAGCGACTGCTTCACATAACTTTCAGTATGTGTAGGACAAGTCGAATCGGGATGCGATGACGCGCAAAGCACCCATAGCTAATGTTTAAATCAAAGAAAAAAAACAAAACAAATTAACCCAGAAGCATTAAACCAAGGTAATATTGACTTATTTATTATGATTTTTTATTATTTTTTTATAAATTTATGTTTTTTTTAGTATAAAACTTAGTTAAGTTAAAGCTTTCAAATTTATAGGTGTATGTATTTGTATTTATTACTTTATTTCTAAAACAAAAACACAAAACACAAAGCTTTTTTTATTTATATATATAAAAGAAAATATAAGTATTTATTTAGCGAAGTATTAATTAATTTGTGCTAATATTTTCCATTAATATTTTAAATTTTTTATGTTTTTTTTTACAAACTGCTAATTTTTTGTACACTTTTTTATATTTAGCCCGAAAAAGCCATATTTTTTATGTTGTAAATGTAATTTAAACCACCTTATAAAGTAAAAAACATATGAATTCAAATATTAAGCGAAATAATTATTATAATATTTATATAGAAATTTATTAAACTTTTTGTAAACAATTCCAAAACAACGTCATCGCAAACCGATTCTTTGTACTATATATATACATATATTAGAGAGAAATCGTAATGTTTAAATAATTTTGTACTATTGTGTAACATTATTGAAAAATTTTCTCTTACTACGTTTGCTTTTTTCCAAAAACTTCCTCTTTATTATTAAAAAAAGAAATTACAAAACGATTAAAAAGACATGTAAATTATTTTCTTTTTTCTTAGTTTTTAAGATTAAAAAACGATAATAATAAATACTTTTTGTAAAGTATTTTAAAGTTAAAAATTAATTTATAGAATAACCACAAGCTACTTAAATAGGAATTGTTTTATTTTCATTTTTGCGCCACCCTAATAAAAAGTATGAATAATTAGGAGAAATTCGAATGGGAGTGAATGTTTGTTTTCGGACTTGACTTTAGAATAGACTAGGGCAATTCTAGCTTAGTTCAAGTTCAGTTCTAGTTCAGTTCTAGTTCAGTTCTAGTTCAGTTCTAGTTCAGTTCTAGTTCAGTTCTAGTTCAGTTCTAGTTCAGTTCTAGTTCAGTTCTAGTTCAGTTCTAGTTCAGTTAGTTCTATTTTCTAGTTTCAGTTTAGTTCAGTCTAGTTCAGTTCTAGTTCAAGTTCTAGTTCAGTTCTAGTTCAGTTCTAGTTCAGTTCTAGTTCATGATTCTAGTTTCAGTTCTAGTTCAATTCTAGTTCAGTTCTAGTTCAGTTCTAGTTCAGTTCTAGTTCAGTCTAGTTCAGTTCTAGTTCATTCTAGTTCAGTTCTAGTTCAGTCTAGTTCAGTTCTAGTTCAGTTCTAGTTCAGTTCTAGTTCAGTTCTAGTTCAGTTCTAGTTCATAATTCTAGTTCAGTTCTAGTTCAGTTCTAGGTTCAGTTCTATGTTCAGTTCTATTCAGTTCTAGTTCAGTTTCTAGATTCAGTTCAGTTCAGTTCTAGTTCAGCATTTCTAGTTCCCAGTTCTAGTTCTAGTTCAGTTCTAGTTGTCAGGTCTAGTTCAGTTCTAGTTCAGTTCTAGTTTCAGTTCTAGTTCAGTTCTAGTTCAGTTCTAGTTCATTCTAGTTCAGTTCTAGTTCAGTTCTAGTTCAGTTCTAGTTCAGTTCTAGTTCAGTTCTAGTTCAGTTCTAGTTCAGTTCTAGTTCAGTTCTAGTTCAGTTCTAGTTCAGTTCTAGTTCAGTTCTAGTTCAGTTCTAGTTCAGTTCTAGTTCAGTTCTAGTTCAGTTCTAGTTCAGTTCTAGTTCAGTTCTAGTTCAGTTCTAGTTCAGTTCTAGTTCAGTTCTAGTTCAGTTCTAGTTCAGTTCTAGTTCAGTTCTAGTTCAGTTCTAGTTCAGTTCTAGTTCAGTTCTAGTTCAGTTCTAGTTCAGTTCTAGTTCAGTTCTAGTTCAGTTCTAGTTCAGTTCTAGTTCAGTTCTAGTTCAGTTCTAGTTCAGTTCTAGTTCAGTTCTAGTTGAGTTCTAGTTCAGTTCTAGTTCAGTTCTAGTTCAGTTCTAGTTCAGTTCTAGTTCAGTTCTAGTTCAGTTCTAGTTCAGTTCTAGTTCAGTTCTAGTTCAGTTCTAGTTCAGTTCTAGTTCAATTCTAGTTCAGTTCTAGTTCAGTTCTAGTTCTAGTTCAGTTCTAGTTTAGTTCTAGTTAAGTTCTAGTTCAATTCTAGTTCAGTTCGAGTTAAGTTCTGGACGTTACTATAGATTAGACTATAAGTAATTGGACTATAGACTCGACTAGACATTTCCGTTAAGAAAAAATTAACCCATGGCCCCTACAAATTTACACTACTAAGAGCTTACTTGTAATTAACTTTAATCCTATAACATATACTCCAACCTCCATGAATACAAAATATTTCAATAATAATTTTGAAACCAGCTCATTTATAAATATAAAATTACACATTTACACTTTATTACATTGCAACACAATAAATTTAAAAATTTTAAATAAAAAAAAACGAAATTTAAACACCAAATATTACAAAAGTTTCTTTTTTTAAGAAAATTGTTACAAATTTATTAACAACGTTTTTTTATGCAAATAAATACCAAAACAATAAAAATTTCATATTAAAGAGAAATTGATAAAAAAAAAACATAATTAATTTGCACTTAAGTCTAGTCATAACTTAAATATTAATTAATTTAAAAATTATACTAAAACAACCTAAACAGCACACACACAATTTTTTAATAATAATTTTATTTTTTACCAAAACTTTAAGCGTAATTAAAAAAAGAAAAACCACGTTATTACAAAATCAAATTAAATTATATAAAATGTTTATAACTATATATATGAAATGAGAAAAAAAGCAAAAAAACCAAGAAAAATGTTACTTAAAAATTGCATTTAAATAAATAAATTTACGAGTAATTATTGTAATATATAAATAAAATTTCCACAAATAGTTATTTTTTCAAATTTTATAAAAGCGTTATTAAATTTTAGTTCTCTGTTTTATGATTTCATTCTTTTAAAAGCTGCTCAACTAAGTTCTCTTTTTTTAACTGTAAACACAGCTACATACATAAATCTTATAAGTCATCCATGTATTTTAGAATATTTATGACTGATTTTGTTACTCTTTAAAAAAATATATATTTATCAAAATATATGTATGAACTGATTTTCGGCTTGTTATTTTTATACTAAACATTGAACTATGAAGAAACAAAACAAAAATTAACTAGAGTCTAAAACTATTTAGGGAGTTGTTTATAACTTAATAAATATGCACTTGATTAAAACATATTTCATTTAAAATCTTGAAGATTTTTTTGTTGCCTTCAGCACCATTTTGTTTTTCCTAGGGGATGGCTTAAGAGGTATAAGAATTTCTTATTTTGTATAGTTTTGTTCTAGTTCATTTCAGTTCTAGTTCGGTTCTAGTTTAATTCTAGTTTAGTTCTAGTTCTAGTTCAGTTCAGTTCTAGTTCAGTTCAGTTCTAGTTCAGTTCTAGTTTAGTTCTAGTTCAGTTCTAGTTCAGTTCTAGTTCAGTTCAAGTTCAGTTCTAGTTCAGTTCTAGTTCAGTTCTAGTTCAGTTCTAGTTCAGTTCTAGTTCAGTTCTAGTTCAGTTCTAGTTCAGTTCTAGTTCAGTTCTAGTTCAGTTCTAGTTCAGTTCTAGTTCAGTTCTAGTTCTAGTTCAGTTCTAGTTCAGTTCTAGTTCAGTTCTAGTTCAGTTCTAGTTCAGTTCTAGTTCAGTTCTAGTTCAGTTCTAGTTCAGTTCTAGTTCAGTTCTAGTTCAGTTCTAGTTCAGTTCTAGTTCAGTTCTAGTTCAGTTCTAGTTCAGTTCTAGTTCAGTTCTAGTTCAGTTCTAGTTCAGTTCTAGTTCTGGTCTAGTTCTGTTCTAGTTCTGTTCTAGTTCTGTTTTAGTTCAGTTCTAGTTCTGTTCTAGTTCTGTTATAGTTCAGTTCTAGTTCAGTTCTAGTTCAGTTCTAGTTCAGTTCTAGTTCAGTTCTAGTTCTGTTCTAGTTCTGTTCTAGTTCAGTTCTAGTTCAGTTCTAGTTCAGTTCTAGTTCAGTTCTAGTTCAGTTCTAGTTCAGTTCTAGTTCAGTTCTAGTTCAGTTCTAGTCTAGTTCAGTTCTAGTTCAGTTCTAGTTCAGTTCTAGTTCATTTTTAGTTCTGTTCTAATTCTGTTATAATTGTTAATTTTAATTAATTTAATTAATTAATTAATTAATTAATGTTAATTTTTAAAACATTTGTTTTAAATGCGCAATATTTCATTATTATATTAAACTTAGCAATATCAAGCCATAAGACAAAGTTACAAAATTTTCTTTACTACTTTCTAAATACCCATTTTTTCTACACAATAAAATAAATTTATTTTATAATTTAAACAAACAAAATATTATTCCATTTTATGCTTAAATAAAAGAAAACAAATAAATAAAGTAATATTCACAATATTCCGTAAACTGTAACTTAACAAGTCCATGAATAAATACTAATATAAATGTTGCAAAAGAAAATTGAATAAAAAATAATGTCTTTGAAAACTTATTTTACAAAAATATTGTGAAAATGTTGCTCTAAATGTTTTTGCATTAAATTACCTCAAAAGCCTTTTTATAGTTTTATATAAAAATTTATTTGTATAAATATTTTATTTTTGTGTGGTATTTATTAATAAATAATATAAAAAAATAAATAAATAATTTAAGCTATTTATAAATAAATTATAATTATAAAAAATCATTAAAACAATGATTTGTTCAAATTGTTTAATTATTATTAATAACAACAACAACAAAACAAAATATCTTTCTATGTACTATTTGTGTGTAAATGTCATTATAAAGAAAATACAAAAAAATATTAAAATTTATAAGTAACCAACCAAGCAAGTGTAAATGAAAATAAGAGAATTGCAAAAGAAAATTCTAGACAAAATTCTAAAATTAAACGTAATCGAACATAAAAGATTTAAAACTAAATAAAAGACATTAAAAAAATCACTTATTAGTTTATTAACAATTAGTATATGAATACATATTATAAAAAAAAATAAAAAAAAAATCAAAGATCAAAAAACACAAACAACAAAAAAAAACAAACAAAATTCGAAGATTAACAATATAAAAGAGAAATAAATAAAAAACTTCAATAAAAATATTAAAAACAAAAGATTTTTATTTTAAATTTTCAGGAATGAATGGGGGAGAATACCGTGTAATTAATACTTTATGTGTTTAAATAATGAGGGCTTGATATGCTATAAATATTGAGTTTTCTGTTAGAAAGATTATAGACTGCCCAATAGGCAAGATTATAGACTGTTCTATACACAAGACTATAGACTGTTCTATACTGAAGACTATAGACTGTTCTATACTAAAGACTTTAAAAACCCAGCAACCACACTTCCACCAACACCCCACCCCCATCATAGCACATAGTCGTCATCATCATCAACAACATGCACATACCACTCAATGTCACGAAGCATTCAGTTCTATACTCAAGACTATAGACTGTTCTATAGTCAAGACTATAGACTGTTCTATAGTCAAGACTATTGACTGTTCTGTAGCCAAGACTTTAGTGTGTTCTATAGTCAAGACTTTAGACTGCTCTATAGTCAAGACTATAGACTTTTCTATAGTCAAGACTATAGGCTATTCTATAGTCAACACTATAGACTTTTCTATAGTCAACACTATAGACTGTTCAATAGTTAAACTATAGACTGTTCTGTAGACAAGACTATAGACTCTTCTTTAGCCCAGACTATAAACTGTTCTGTAGACAAAACTATAGACTATTCAATAGTCAAACTAGACTGTTCTGTAGACAAAACTATAGACTATTCTATAGTCAAGACTGTAGACTGTTCTATAGTTTTGACTATAGACTGTTCTATAGTCAAGACTTATAGATTGTTCTAAAGTCAGGACTGAAGACTGTTCTAT